AAATGGAGCTCCATCCTTTAAAAAGATTAAGCGTGTTTTGAATAGGAACCTGTTGAATCAAAGCCAGGCGTGAATCTTTAGGAGGGTGTTATGTACTGAGTTGAATAGGATCCAAACTGCAGCAGTCTGATTGGTCCTAGAACAATAGGATCCAAAATGCAGCAGTCTGATTGGTCCTAGAACAATAGGATTCAGAATGCAGCAGTCTGATTGGTCCTAGAACAATGCAGCAGTCTGATTGGTTGGCAGGAGCCACCCAATCATGCTCCAGATAGAAGTGAATCCACAACCTGATTGGCTTACAGTAGAATTCCGAGTTAGCTCAATCATGTGCAAGCCCCATTGTGTAAATAATGTATATAAAGCAGATACTTTGAGGGGACATTCATTCATTCCTCCTCACCACTACAAGAGCTGAATAAAGAGCATGAAATCACTTTGCGACTCTGAGTATATTTCACTGGCGACGAGGATGGGATCCCGCTGAGCTGACTGCCACCACAGCACCGCAGCACTGCCACCTGCCGCACCGCTGCCTCGCACTGTGATCCAGGAGCTTCAGCTCCAGGACACAAGGAACTCAGAATGGCAACCGACAGCAGCTTCCAGCCGTTCAACCCAACATCTGGAGACTGGGAAGCGTACGCCTCCCCGCTTCACCTTCCTCCTAGAAGCCAAAGGGGTCACCAGAAGAGAGGCGCCAAGAAGAGAGGCGATATTCTTCAGCTTCTGCGGAGAGGAGACATTTGAAATTGCCCGGGCTCTCCTTGCGCCTGAAGACGTCGCTACTGTTCCATACAAAACAATAATGGAACAGCTGAAGGGGCACATTTCGCCGCAACCCTCAGTGGTGGCTCGTCGAAATGCCTTCTACGCAAAGTGGCAAGCCTCTGGGGAAACCATAACTGGGTTTGTGACCTCTCTCCGCCAAGCTGCCCGGTTCTGCAACTTCTCAGAGCTGGAGAACATGCTTCGTGACTGCCTCGTCGGTGGCCTGAAGGATGAGAAGCTGCAACGTCGCCTCTACGCTAAGAAGGACCTAACGTTCCAGGTCGCTCTGGAGGAGGCCCTGGCAACGGAAGCTGCCGAGAGGTCGACACAAGAGGCACGGCAGAGCCTGCCGTCCCAACTGAGGGTCCATCATGAAGACCTCACCGACGACTCAGGATCTGACATGGAGGAGGTGCACCGAGTACAGCAGCGCACCCAAGCAGCGCACAGACCACAGCTGCCTCGACGAGAAGGAGGGAACTGCGCAAGCTGCGGGGAAAGCCACGACAGGAGGACCTGCCGTTTCCGCAACGCAGAGTGCAGGCAGTGCAGAAAATCGGGACACATCGCCCGGGTGTGTCAAGCTCGGCCCACCCGACGCCAGGCATCAGAGGACCAATCCACGAGCCCCAGGTCCCGGGGCCCAACGCACCAAGGCAACTCGACGGAGCTCATGGACTTCCAGGTATACCAGTTGCCCCACCCCAACGTAGAGAAAATTTATGTAGAGGTACAGATAGAGGGGGCCTCATGCCGCATGGAGCTTGACACGGGTTCAACTCTATCCATAATCTCGGCAAGGACCTTAAGGAAACTGTGTCCTACTGGGGGTCCCAAACTCAGGTCGGCCCCGATTCACCCACCGGGACTTCCAGAAACGTAAGATCCCCACAATGGGGGTGGGGACCTTCAGGGTGTAATACCGAGGGCAGACGTGGCAACTGGACTTGCTTGTGGTCAAGGGCCCCTACATTAGCTTACTGGGATTGGCATAGTTTGGACCACTGGGGCTAGCCGTCACCGGGGTGAACCACACTAGCTTACAAGTGGACGTGGACGCCATATGCAAGGAATTTCCGGGGGTTTTCGATGGGAAATTGGGACAGTATACAGGCCCCCTCATTGCTCTACAGCTTGACCCCGCAGTACGACCGGTCAGGCTCAAGGCCCATCGGGTCCCGTTCGCCCTGAAACCCCGTATAGACGAGGAATTGGACCGGCTCGTGGAGCAAGGAGTGCTGGAGCCGGTGCCTAATGCCCCAGGAAACCCCAATCGTCACACCCGTCAAGCCTAATGGCTCGGTCCACATCTGCGCAGGCTACCACTGTACCATACACAAGCCCCTCACCGCCCATGCCGCCCCAGTGCCAGTGGTCAGCCATGTCCTTGCCACCCTGGCTGGGTCGAAAAGTTTTGGCAAGCTGGACTTGGCCCAAGCATATCAACAGCTGCCAGTAGATGAGGCCACAGCAGAGGCACAGAAGATTGTGACGCACAGAGGAGCGTTCAAGGTAAAGCGGCTGCAATTCGGTGTCAGTGTGGCACCAGGCATATTGCAGAATCTAATGGACTCCCTCCTTAAAGGGATTCCTGGCGTCACCCCCTTCTTCGATGATGTGTTGATTGCCGGGCCCACACCAGAGGAGTTTGAGGACCGCCTCCGCACCGTTCTGCACCGTTTCCAGATGGCGGGTCTCAAGTTGAGGCGGGAAAAATGTCTACTAGGAGTGCCTCAAGTGGACTTTCTGGGATTTACGCAGAAGGGGTCCACCCGACCGGGGACAAGGTACGAGCCATTTGTGATGCCCCAGCGCCCAAGAGCAAGACTGAACTTCAGGCCTTCTTGGGACTATTGAACTTTTACCATTCCTTCCTTCCCCACAGGCGGCGGTAGCGGAGCCTACACAGACTCCTGGACAAGCGGGCCCCTTGGGTGTGGGGCCAGCGCCAGGAGGCCGCATTCCAGGCAGTCAAGGACTTGCTTGTCTCAAACTCGGTCTTGGCACACTTCGACGAGAGGCTGCCGGTGGTGCTAGCATTTGACGCCTCGCCCTATGGCATCGGCGCTGTCCTGGGACACCAACTCCCGGATGGAAGAGAGGTACCGGTGGCATACTTTTCCCAGACACTCAACGCAACTGAGCGGAACTACTCGCAAATCGACAAGGAGGGTCTGGCAATCGTGAAGGGAGTAAAAAAATTCCATGATTTCCACCCTTCACCGTGGTGACTGACCACAAGCCGTTGCTTGGCTTGTTTGCCCCCCAAAAGCAGACCCCCCAAGTGCTGTCTCCTCGCGTCCTCAGGTGGTCAATTTTCCTTGCCAGCTACCAGTATGCACTGATTCACCGCCCTGGGAAGGCGATGGGCCATGCAGACGCCCTCAGCAGGCTACCACTACCGGAAACAGGCCCCGACCCAGCACCTGCAGAAGAGGTTATGAGCCTGGAGCTGCTTCCCGAACGCCCCATTCAGGCACAAGAAGTTGCACACCATTCCAAGAAAGATAGGGTCATCTCCCAGGTCCTGGACTGGGTGTGGAGGGGATGGCCCAGCAGCAGCCCCGGGACAGAATTTGCCGGCTACACAACCAGCAAACATGAACTGTCGGCCCACAAGGGGTGTCTGTTATGGGGAAGCAGGGTCGTTGTTACCCCAGCCCCTCCGCATAAAGAGGTCCTCACAGCCCTACACGAGACACACCCAGGGGTAGTGAGAATGAAGGCCCTTGCCAGGAGTTATGTGTGGTGGCCGGGGATCGACAGAGAGATAGAGGCCTGGGTCAAACACTGCCAGGCCTGCCAAGAATCCCACCCACATCCCCCAAGGGCCCCAGTCCAGTCCTGGGAGTCCGCCCGAGCACCATGGTCACGCCTGCATGTGGACTTCGCTGGCCCCTTTCAGGGGAAAACATTCTTCATAGTGGTGGACTCCTACACCAAATGGCTGGAAGTCGCACTGGTACTGTCCACTTCTACGTCCGCAGCCATCTGGGTACTACGCAGGCTGTTTGCAACCCACGGGCTCCCTGACACTCTCGTCTCAGACAATGGGACTGCATTTACGTCAGGAGAATTCCAAACCTTCACAGCGCAGAACGCCATCCGCCACATCTGTTCGGCGCCATTCCACCCTGCCACCAACGGCCAAGCAGAACACATGGTGTGGACCACCAAGGACACCCTTCGCCGCATGACGCAAGGGGATTGGGAGTACCGCATTGCCACATTCCTTCTAGCACAGCACAGCACCCCCAGCTCAATGACTGGCCGGAGCACAGCTGACTACTAAAGGTTCTGCGCCTTGCTATCAGATTGGACCGCCTTCTCCCCAATAGAGCTCAGTATGAGATAGTGGTGGGGGAAGTCAGGAACCCCCATACCTTCGAGGCCCATGACCCAGTTTACGCAAAGAATTTTGGGGCAGGCTCCAGCATAGGTACCCGCCACAGTCACCAGAGGTCACTGGCCCCGTGTCGTACGAGGTGCTAACGGATGGGGGCAATGCTGGCGCCGCCACTGCGACCAGATGCGGCGACGATTCCCGGGAGAGAAAGCCAGGAGGAGGACAGGTCAGAGGAGTCCCAAAGGGAACAGTGGGGCAGTGAGGCCCATAGAGCAGGAGGGGCCAGCAGGAGAGCGCAGAACCAGTAAATACAGAGAGGACCCGCGAGGCCGAAAGGACACCGGAACCAGAATCACGACTGAGCAAGCCGGTTGCGCCAGACCAAACAGCCCCATCACAGCCGGCATCCTTAGAACATGAGCCAGAACCTGAACCCCGGACCAGGGAACACTCCAGGCCGCAACGCACACGTAGGCCGCCGGCGTACCTTGAGGACTATGAATGCGACCTCCCGGGCACGACTGGAACTTAGAGGGGAGGGGTGTTATGTATTGAGTTGAATAGGATCCAAACTGCAGCAGTCTGATAAGTCCTAGAACAATAGGATCCAAAATGCAGCAGTCTGATTGGTCCTAGAACAATGCAGCAGTATGATTGGTTGGCAGGAACCACCCAATCATGCTCCAGATAGAAGTGAATCCACAACCTGATTGGCTTACAGTAGAATTCCGGAATTAGCCAATCATGTGTGCAGCCCATTGTGTAAATAATGTATATAAAGCAGATACTTTGAGGGGACATTCATTCATTCCTCCTCACCACTATGAGCTGAATAAAGAGCATGAAATCATTTTGCGACTCTGAGTATATTTCAGAGGGTTAAAATTGTTGTGGTTCTGGACAGTCAAGAGTTAACACTCCAGGAGCGTTCTTATCAACTGGATGCACTGCCTACATGACCCGGGCATTTCCCTTTGATCTGTGCTCTCTGGGGGTTGCTGAGAGCAGTCTGTCTGAGAATGTGAGCAAGGTAGTTTTGTTTTGTTAGAGACAGAAAGCTGCAATCATGCAGCTAGATTCTGTAGGTTTTTCTTTTCTGTTTTTGTATGCTTCTAAATAAAGAGTGATAGAATAGAAGCACTGGTGCCGAGCTGAGTTATTGAAGACACCACGCAGACACAGAAAAAGCCATTTTACGCTGCATGTGAACTGTGCTAACGTCCGACAACTGAGAAGAGTGGCAGCATGTGAATGGAAGCATGTGGGCACCATTGAAGTTTGTCGGAGTGGTAATAAATCAAATTTATTGCAGTGCCATTGCAGCAGACTCCGTGGGCCAAAGGATTTACGACCCACAAACTTCAACAAAAATAAACTATCCCAAGATAATCAGTTAATGCAAACTGATAGGAAAGAGAACAACTCATTAAGGACTCGTGCTCCTGTTGTAGAAAAAAGCAAATAACAAGCAGCAATATCAAATTCAGTGTTAGGCAAATGTAGCCACTTTAAAATCACTATTCTGTCAGCAGTGTCTGGGGAAAAAAGGAGTCCTGTATGTGAAAACATTGTATTAAGGAGTATCACACATATGAAATGACCCCAAAACTCTGCTACTGCAGTAAAGTAAACTCATTAATTTTTATAATGAAATGTTTTTAGAGTGTTGGATTATTTGATTGTTGTTAGCCGCCCTGAGCCCAGCTTCGGCTGGGGAGGGCGGGATATAAATAAAATTTATTATTATTATTAGGAATTTTAAGTTCAAGGAGGAAAGGAGAAAAACAGTCTGCAATAAACGATGAAGAATAGGTCTCACTGTCTGAGGTGGAATTGGACCTGTATGTTATGTCTTAATTTTATAAACCACCATAGTGGCATGGCGCAGATCTGCAACAGGAGACAGTGTGTTAAAAGTAACTGGCTTTGCTAATGTGGCTTCAGGCACAACAGTCTTTGTTCTCCCGTTTAAACCCAGGCTGGAACTGAATGGTAGTTCTGTTTAGCTGTGGATTGTTTTGGGAGTTATTTTTTATTTTATTATTTTATTAATTGTTTGTCTAATACTATAATAGTAGGCTGACAAAGAACATATTAGTTTCATATAATCAGAGAGGTAGCTGATGTTAGCTGGCTTGTTCTACTCGACTAATTAGAGTTATCGAGTTGTTGATACTATAAGCAGAACAACTAGACTGGGAAAGAATAACATAAATTGCCATCAATGGAGGCTAGTATGAGGCTTGGGATTGCTACCGTGGAGGGGCGAGGGGGGTATGGCGGTGGGGGCAGATGTTATCGGCGAAGGGGATCGAGATACGGATATGCTCGTACCCCTTCCAATCTGCGCCCCATTCCGAGGGACGAGGGTAGGGTGAGCGAGAATTACCTCCGTCACTGGTGCTGTGCAATGCCAGGTCTATAGGCAACAAAACCGCCACCCTGTGAGATTTCTTTACCTCGCAGGGGGTCGACCTGGCTTGTGTGACGGAGACCTGGGTGCGTGAAGGGGAAACAGTTACCTTACGAGAGATGGCGCCCCCAGGTTTCTCCGTCCTCCACCAGTCGTGGACTGTGGGACGGGGGGGGGAGGGGTGGCATTATTAATCCAGGAAGATTGTTCTTTCAGGGCTCTACCATCACCATCGATCCCTGGCATTGAATGTATTGGCCTAGTGTGGGGCTCCGAGGAGAGCTTGGCTGGCTGGCTGGTGTACTGGCCACCTAGCGCACCAGCAGCCACCCTGTCAGGCCTACTGGAGGCGGTGGCCGGCTGGGCCTTGGAGTTCCCTAACCTATTGGTATTGGGGGACTTCAACATCCATGCTGATGCCACTCCCTCCTCACAGGCTCTGGACCTGGTGTCTTCCATGGCGACACTGGGGCTCTCCCAGTTTGTTTCGGACCCCACACATCCAAGCAGGCCACACACTGGATTTGATCTTTGGTGTAGGTATAGATGTGATCATGTCTCCTTCGATGAAGGTGCCATGCTCTGATCACTATGCTCTGAAAGCCAGGATTGATTTTCCACCCCCACGCTGCTTAGGTGGCGAGCCAATTTGGGCTCGCCCGCAGAGGCTGATGGACCCTGATAGATTCCATCAAGCCTTGCGGGACCTTGCTCCCCCTGGCGACTCATTGACTTAGCTTGTTGAGGGCTGGAATACCCGGCTCCTGACAGCCATCGATGAGATTGCACCTAAGCGCCCTCTGCGACCCCGCAGAAACCGGGCTCCCTGGTTTACTGAGGAGCTCCGGAAAATGAAGCGGGACCTCAGATGGCTAGAGCGAGTATGGCAGGGTGCCCGCGACAGAGCTTCAAGAACATCTTATAGGGTTTTTATGAAAACCTACGAGATGGCAGTGAAGGCCGCTAAGAAGTCTTACTTCTCGGCCTCCACTGCATCCGCTAGCTCTCGCCCGGCGCAATCATTTAGTATAATTAGGTCTTTAACGTCCCTGGAGGGACAGCCAAATTTAAATAACAATTTGACACACAGCTGTGAGGCATTTGCGAGCTTTTTTGCGGAGAAGGTACTGTTGCTCCGCCGTGACCTCCCTGCCAATTTGGATACAATAACAGAACTGGAGGCCCCTCGACTGTCCTCGGGTCCAGTATTGGACCACTTTGACCGGATATCCCCAGCCGATGTGGACAGACTCCTCCGAGCTGGAAAGCCCACCACCTGTCCTCTTGACACATGCCCGTCCTGGCTGATTAGAGCGTGTCCAGACGAGGTGCGGCCCCCTAGGGGATATTATCAATTTGTTCCTTGGCACCGGGACATTCCCAGGGGAATTGAAGGAGGCAGTGGTGTGCCCGCTCTTAAAGAAAACATCATTAGATCCTTTAGATCTATCCAATTACCGCCCGATTTCGAATCTTCCGTTCCTGGGTAAGGTGATTGAGAGAGCGGTTGCTGAACAGCTTGGTGGGTTTCTGGATGAAACATCGGCCCTGGATCCATTCCAATCCGGCTTCTGCGCTGGTCATGAGACTGAGACGGCTCTGGTCACCCTAACAGATGATCTCCGCAGGCAGCTGGATCAAGGCGGGTCGGGGCTGCTGATTCTTCTAGACCTGTCAGCAGCCTTCGACATGGTCGATCATGAACTCCTGGACCACCACCTTGCCGACGTGGGGATCCAGGGGACAGTCCTTCAATGGCTGTGCTCGTTTCTCTCTGGTCGGGGACAGAGGGTGGCGCTTGGGGGGAACTGTCATCGCGCCAATCTCTGGTGTGTGGAGTGCCTCAGGGTGCGATACTCCCTGATGCTTTTCAACATCTTTATGCGCCCCGTCGCCCAGCTTGTCCGGAGTTTTGGCTTGGGCTGTCATCAGTATGCTGATGACACCCAACTCTATCTGTGTGATGGCCTGGGAATCTGATTCAGAAGCTGAACCAGAGGAGCCCCAGACTGCACAGGAGTCCCCGCCTCCAGGGCCGGCTGAGCAGGGCCTTGAATCTGAAGCGCCTGCACCTGTGCCGGATCCTCAGGAGCAGACACCAGATGAATCCACTCTGGCTCTGGAGGTGATTGAGGACCAATTGCCTACAGGTGCGCCTCTCCCAGCCCTGTCAGGGGAAAGTGAGCCTCCCCCTGGGTCCAGTAACCCTCCAGCCTCTCCTGAGCTGCAGAGGCTCAGGGCAGAGAGGTGGAGGGAAGGAGAGGCGGGTCACCTGTGGGCCGGGACCGCCCCTGGCCTCAGAGAAGATAAAGGCCAGTCAGCTAGGTCCCAGGTTGCTGGAGTAACGACGTTGGAAACCTGTTTCTGCCAGCACCCAGACCTGTTTCTCCTGACCACGCCCGCCTTCTTGCTTTGGACCCTGCTTCCCCCTTGGTGGACAGTCTCCAGATCCTCGGCCCAGGACCGGTCTTTGACCACGCCTCATGGTAACCTCCCCAGGACCAGCACAATCCGTTGATGGATGGCCATCCTGACTAAGCCCAAGACACACTGATCAGATGTTTGGAAGCTGTGTCTGGCTGGTTACATGGGAGCCTGTTGAAGTTAAATCCTTCAAAGACAGAGGTCCTTTGGCTGGGAAGGGACGATATGGGATGGGGGGGGGCAACTCCCATCTCTTGCAGGGGTGCAGGTTGTGCCAGCACCGTCCATTAAGAGTTTGGGTGTAATCTTCGATGCGTCCCTTTCCATGGAGGCGCAGATTGCAGCTATAACAAAGGCGGCATTTTTTCATCTCCGCCAAGCTAAGCAGTTGGCTCCTTACCTCTCTCGCCCTGACCTAGCCACTGTGATCCACGCGACGGTCACCTCCAGACTGAATTATTGTAACTCGCTCTACGTGGGGTTGCCCTTGAGACTGACCCAGAAACTCCAGCGGGTGCAGAATGCCGCAGCGAGACTCCTTACGGGGTCCTCGCTACGAGATCACATTCACCCAGTGCTATACCAGCTTCACTGGCTCCCAGTGGAGTACAGGATCAGATTTAAGGTGCTGGTTTTAACCTTTAAAGCCCTATACGGCCTAGGACCCTCGTACCTACGGGACCGCCTCTCCTGGTATGTCCCACGGAGGAACTTACGATCTTCAAACAAAAACATCTTGGAGGTCCCAGGCCACAGAGAGGTTAGACTGGCCTCAACCAGAGCCAGGGCTTTTTCAGCTGTGGCTCCGACCTGGTGGAACGCTCTGCCACAAGAGACTAGGGCCCTGCAGGACTTGGCATCTTTCCTCATTTCCATTTTCTGTCACACTTCGCTTCAGTTCTTTTAACACTGCAAAGGGCAATGATTCATGGGCGCTCTGTCCCTGTGCATTCTGAACAACAGGACAGACTGCTAATAATGGTAATGTGTCAGCTATTTCTTCTTCTTCACTTCTTCCTTCTGCCATATTTTGCTTTTGCACTGTGGTCTGAGCCCCTTGTGGCCATTGGTCCACCAAAGAAGGTGGCATGGAATTTACATTCAACCCAGGCAAATTTTTGGCAAAGGAAGGTGCCAATGGAATCACGTTTGGCATGACCTCAGAGGAGAGAGGCTGGAAATCCAGAGGCTGAGATGGGGGGGGGGACAATATTATGGTATTTTTAAAGGCAGCTAGGGGTTGCAACAATGTGGGAGCATTCACAGAGACAGCTGGGGGCTGCAGTAAAGGGTTAGAGTGTTGGGATACTGCCAGGGAGACAGAGGCATAATCAGGCAGCCTTCCACATCATCTCTGGATGATCTCCAGACTCCCATTGGAACAGCATCAGTTAATTAACGACACAAGCCTCAGACACATTCCAGGACTCATACACAGCCTTTTCGCAGAGTTTCCACAATGGAAGATTCACCCAGAAGAGTATATTTACAGCTTTATTCACCGTTCGTCAGAACAAAGGAAAAA